TATATTAATTATTTTTATTTTGTTTTTGTTTTTTCTTTCAACTAAAAAGCAACTAAGATCGCTTGGCCACAGATTTATGCTAAAATTATATTATAATTACAGCTTGTATTCACTTCGTATGCTTTTTGTTGTTTTCAAATTGTTTTTATTATTTATATATTTTTTTATTTTTTTTTTTTATTTTTGTTTTTTTTAAGAGACAAAGTACAACAACTAGTTTTATTTATTAATTATTATATTGTCTTTTTTTTTTTTTTTTTTTTTTTTTTGCAAAATTTACTTATTTGCAAGATTTTATTTTTGTTTATTCTTAAGTTGAAAAAATAGTACAAAAGCTTTGACATATTCTCATTTTTTCGGTTTTCTATTTTATTACTTGGTTTGTTTGTTTCGCTAATAAACCAGTTGGTTTATAGTCTACTCGTAAAGTGTAAGTATACAAATGACTGCCCATATAGCTGGACTGCAACCGAGTGCAGTTCCATTAAGTACAATGTTTGGTAGATTTTTGTTTTAGAGTTGTTTAGTATGCATTAACTCAAAAGGTAGGAGAATATAGCGATAGAGAAAGTGCCTAGAGCTGGGAAGAGTTCATTTCAAAATTAGTTTTAGGGTAAACATAGAGTTTAGCTTTAGTTTTTAGTTTAGCTTAGTACACCTAATAATACGTAGCCTTCCGTTACGGACACTAAGAACTATATAACGTACATTTAGTTAAACTGCTATAGTATACATTGAGTTGAAGGGGGCTGGACAGGGGAGAAGGGATGGGTAAAGATAGTAGTAGATCTACTACTATTTGGGTTTAGGCCTACTCTAGTTGCAAGTATTTTGATTGGGATAGTAGTACAATGGGATTATCTTATTCCATCTCTTAACTGCTGTGATTTTGAGCACCAGAAGCTGCACTGTCCCTATATACGTAGTTATTAATTAATAATTACATTTACTTTTATATAATAGTATCGCGTGTAGCATTTTACGTATTTACTTGTATAGTTAAAAATTTTGCTTAGTAAATGCTTAAAGTTCATTTTCGTTTTTCTTTTCTTTTTTTGTTTTTGTTTTCTTGTTAATGATCTTGAATTATAACCTAAACAGTATCCCGTTCATTACGTATATTTAGTTCGCACGGATTCTAGCTCATTTATAATGTCATCGTATATGCGCGTTTCAATTCTCAATTAATTAAATTAACATTAATCTGGTATTAGTTTTTTTTTCTTTTAACTTTTTAAACAATAGAAAAACATATGTTTTACTTTATGTTTTATTCGTATACTTTGCATTTGAACTCAGGTTGATTTTATTATGTTGTTTCATCTTTTTGTTTACGTATATGAATTGCGCTTGGTTCTCATTCTCATTAAGAACGCATTGAAATAAGACTTATAAAAGAAACGAAAAAAAAAATGGAAACAAATCTAACAAAATTAAAGATTATAAACTTGTTTTTCTCTTTCTTTTTTAGTTTTTTGTTTTTTTTTTTTTGGCAAGTTCTTTCAGTGTTGTAAAACACCTTGAAAAAGGACGTATTGAAAAATCGTATACACGTTGCTGAAGTAAATAATAGTGAAAAGCCAAACAAAAATGGAATAAACTTTTCATTGATTATGAATAATTTTCATTTGTTTTTCTTTCTTCTTCCACTTCTACTTTCTGATTTTGTTTTTGACTTGTAAGCAGCCTAGGCTTTCGTACAACTACATGCTTAAGTTCTATTTTAAGTTATAGTTTAGTTTCTTAAGAAGTTTGCTCGTAGTTAGGGTTATGCTTTCTGATTTGACCAAATAACGTAGGGTTTTCCTTTATCCGTTTCTTTTCTTTTTTCTTTTTTGGGGTCCCTGCTGTGACACCCACCCAAACACACACACGCGCACACTCTCATACACACGCGCACACGCTGAGCGAATTAAAAGTCCGCTTCGTGCTTGATGCGATAACTGGCATAGGTTTCTTCCAGCGGCGCAAAGTCTTGGGTGTGGGGCTGTGTTAGGGTTCCAAAATAGAAATTTGGCACCAGAGTTGTAATATATATATAGAGAAATGGGGGGCTTTAGATATAATAGTAGATCAAGTGTCGATTGATATTGTGTGCATCTGTTGCTGTAACTAAATATGTCTGTCTGTGTGTTGGTTTTGTATGTGGAGGGGTTCGAAGGCGATATTTACAAGTTTACGAACTCAAAACGATAACACGTCTATCGGAAGTTATCGACGCAGCCCCTGCATAGTCAGGGCCATGCATATTAGGCTAGCTTTTATATCATATTTATATATATGCATAATATATATATATATATACATACATATATATATGCATTTATACGTATATAGGTTCTATATATATATATGTATATATATATATATAGGGAGAGTTATGTGCATATGTAAATTGTTAAAATTGGTTAGTTTTGGGTTAGTAAACTTTCTTGTAATATAATAATTTTTAGATTTTGTTTTTTTGGGTTAGTAAACTTTCTTGTAATATAATAATTTTTAGATTTTGTTTTTTGTTTTTGTTTAATAGTTTAATTTTTTGTGTTGTTAAGTAGTGAAAATAATAAAAAGTTGTTAAATGTTTTTAATAATAATTAATAATATATTGGCGAGCTATATGGGCCTCTTGCAAAAACGAAGGACTGGAACTTTTACTTATTTTTCTTTTTGTTTTCTTATTCATTTCTTTTTCTTTCTTTTGTATAGTTTTTCTTTAGTTGTTGGTACTTTTTACAAATTAAGCAAATTTATAGTTTTCTTTGCGCTAATTATTGTTGCTCAGTTGCTGTATCTTCTTCTTCATCATCATATTCATTTTAAGTAATTTACAAGTTGAATGTATTCTATTTTTGTCTCTGCGAGAAGAGCTCAAAAATAAATAACATGACTTATGTTTTGCATTACTCTTTGTTTATACTCATTTTTTTTTTGCTTGTTTTGTTTTTGAGTGTGTGTGTGTTTATTTTTTGTTTTTTAACTTAAATTTATGGCTCTCAGTCAACTGTACAAAAACAGACAAATTCTAACGGCCAAAGCATCAGTAATAGCAGCAACAGCAGCAGCAGCAGCAGCGACAGTTGCCAACATAGTCGGGCAGCCAACAGCAATGCACAGCAGCAACATCAGCAGCAGCAGCAGCAACAGCTGTCAATGTGTGGATGGTCGAAGATCCTCGCTTAGCGGCCGCTTGGAAGCTCGTTTGTAGTTGTTGTTGTTGTTGTTCTGGTTGGTTGTTGTTCATTGAGTCGTGTTGTTGTTGTTGTCGTTGTCGTCATTGTTGTCGTTTTGGCCGCTAATGCAATGTCCTTGCAATTGTTGTTGTTGTTGGGCTGTTGTTGTTGCTGCTGCGTAGCCATTGCCGTTGTTGCTGACGTTGTTGTTGTCGTTGTCGTTGTTGATGTTGCTGCAATTGCTCTCGTTAGAATTTGCTTCAATTCTCATTTTATGTATTTGCTCTCTTGTACTGATTTTCTTTTCTTTCGTTTTAAGGTTTCTTTTTGTTGTTGTATTAATTCACTTGACTAATTTACAATGTGTGTGTGTTCTTGTTCTTGTTCATAATTACGTACAACTTCTTCTGCGTTTTTGATTGGATTTTATTCATCAATATTTGTTTATATTATCGTTATTATGATCCTCAAATAATCAATTGAGATTATTTTGGACTTTTGCTGAAGTTTTGCAAAATGAATTAATTTTACTTAATTTCTTATGCATTTTCGCAACATTCTTATTTTTTCTTTTTGGTTATTATTATTGATTCATTTAATCCCAGGGCATTGTGAGCACCCGCTTCGTTTTTGCAAGAAGGTCGTTATCGTACTACGAACATGGGTGCACCACCGCATTGTAGCTCGCCAATATAGGACCATGTGCTCCCGCGAAGGGGGTACTCACAACGTCTGGTGTACTAGCTCCATCGGTGTGCGATGTTGAATCGGCATTACTTCTTCCTTCACCATTTGCTGAACCTAATTCTGGTGGTTTGGTGGTGTCCCGTTCGTCAATCACTAAATCTATTGGCATTTTACCCTTTAAACATGAGATATATCGATGACAGAAATTATCGCATAGTTCATGCACCTGCAACGAGAGACCCGCAAAAAGTGAGTGAGAGAGAGAAAGAGATTGTTGTGTGAGTGAAAAGGTGCGATGCCAAAACGAAAATTAACATATACATATATATTCATAAGGAAATTTTATGATATAGTAATAGATCATCAGGCATAGAATAGTGCAAATATACGTATATATAAATAAATATTTTTATAAGGATATGCATAAATATAATAGTTAATCTAATCAGACATCTGGCAATACGTTTTCATATTCCACAATCGGGACTTCATTAGGCATTCAGTTAGTTAGTTATGAACCATTCCATTCAACTTGAGCAACAGAGACAGCTGCAAGCTGCACTTAGCGCCATTGCATTCTTTCAGCCAACAGCAACAACAATATGGCTAAAACCTGCTTTTTCTCCCGCTGCAAATGGCATGCAAATTGCTTTTTATGCGTTATCCAAGGCCCGGACTCTCTGGACTCGGGCCACGCAAATGGTTGATGATGGCACTCAAAAATGGCGTAGACAACGTCAGCAACAGCCACCGCTAAGCTTAGAAGGTGTACGCGCTTGCAGGCGATAAAAATGCGAGCCCGACCCGGCCACATAAATATGCATAGAGAGCTGGCTGGCTGGCTGGCCAAAAGCATTCGAGCCAGAAAGGAAGTGCTGGCTGGTCAGCCAAGTTTAGCCGCAGGGCACACTTTTAAGCAAGCAGCACGTGCAACACACAGACCATTGGCTGGCGTCAGCAGCAACAGCAGCAGCAACAGCAACAGCAGCAGCAGCAAACGGCCAACAAAATGCGTTTTTAAAGCCAGGCTGTTGTTGTTGTTGTTGTCTGTATCCAAAAACTGTGTGTAAGCTCGTGTGTGCGAGTGTGTTTGTGTGTGCGTGTGTGTGTGTGTATGTATGATAAAACAAATGCGATAAGGCCAAAGTGAGTGTGAGTCAGGCGGAGCGCATATGCAAATATGCAAAAAGGCTGCGCACCAAAGAGGAATGCAGCCGCCGACACGGCTAAAAAGAAATTAATTGCGCTGGGCTCGAGCAGACAGAGAAGCAGCAGCAGCAGCAACAACAACAGCAACAACAACCAACAGGGTGCTCCATTTAAACGGGCAGGCATTTAATTTACGAAAAAGTGCGCGTTGCTTATGCAAATTGCTTGTTGCTGTGTTCTTGCAACGCTGCTGCTGCTGTTGTTGTTGTTGCTGCTGCTGCTGCTGCTGCTGCTGCTGCGGCTCTCGTTTTGTGTTTTCTTCTTTAGGCATACGAAAGCTGTAACAGTTGCTGGCGGGCGGGCTGGCCGACTGGCTGGCTATTAACTTGTTGCCCATTGCCGAAACTTGCCAAACTTGTTTCCAGGCTGCTGCTGCTGCTGCTGCTGCTGAGGCCGTCATTGTCGATGCTGCTGCTGCTGCTGCTGCTGGCTGTGTTCAATGTTATTGTCACCAAAAATATGACGATGATAAAAACTGGCAGCAGCAACTGGTTTATGACAGGACTCAAATTTGTCTTTACTGCTGCCTGATAACAGTAACAGCAACAGCAACAGCAACATGTTGCTGCTGCTGTGTATAGCTGTCAAATTTGCCATAACAATGCACATAAAGTGCACAATTAGCACGCCAGCAACATGTTGCCAGCGCACAGCAGCAGCAGCAACAACAACAACATAGCAACAACAAGGCATAAATACTTACTAAATTGATATGTTTATGCGGCTTTATGCTCAGTTGCTCAGTTGCCAGTCTCTGGCTCGGCCCTTTGTGGCATGTTGTTGCTGTTGCTGTTGCTCTTGCAGCCGATGCTTGGCCGCTGATAATTTTTGATTAATTTGTCAGCGTTGTGTGTGACATTTAAACAGCTCATTGCGATATTTATGACTGGTGCTGCTGCTGTTGCACATTGGGTGGGCAACTCACTGCTGGGACCCACGACAGCAGCAACAGCAGCACAAGCAGCACCACCGGCAGCTGCTGTGTTGCCAGCCAGCGCACTGGGGGCGTTGCTTGTTGCAAGCATTGTAAATGTTACAGTCATTTGTACATCCTGTTAAGCAAAACTTTTCACAGTCCCGTCCTCGCTACATTTTACAGCTTCCTCTATCAGAGATACGATCGCAATGCGTCCGGGCATATAGTTTTGTTTACCATTCCATTGCATTTACTGTCGCTCCCTCCCGTTCTCCCTCTCTCTCTCGCGCTCTCCCTCTGTCAATGCAACTATTGCACTTTGCCTGCATTCGCTTCGCTCTAATCTAATGTAAATCGCTCCAATCTGCGCAGTGGTAATTTTCGATTTCCGCTCATAGATAGCGCTAAATGTTCTATACGGAGATGACGACTAGACCAGCTCCGGCTGAGATTCACACGAAACCGACCAACTGACACAGCCTCCAGTCTCGATGCCAGTCGGCAGTCTCAGTCTCAGTTTCAGTATCTGTCCCAGTCCCAGTCAAGCAACAAGTTTTATTTTGTTTTCCCTCTCTCTCTGTCCCTCTATTTTATTTTTTGCATTTTGTTTAACAAGCGTGCGGCAAAAAATGTACAACACTGCTGACATTTAAATGAAATGTAATTAAAAAAGCAACAGCAACAACAACAACAGTGACAACAACAACAACAATAGCAACGATTGCCGACAAAACAGTACAGACTGAATCTAAGCGCTTGGCAAAAATAAATATTTCAATTCAGAAAAAAAAAAAAAAAAAAAAAACAAAGCTAATAAATAAATAGATAGAAATGTTATTTGAGTTTGAGATATAAATGTAGCGAACTGTGAATGCTCTGCCAACATGAATTGATATCAACAATTTTGTTAATGGAATGACGTTTAAGGAAAACGCCATGAAGCGGAATTACAAATTTATGAAGAGCTGAGAGCTTGCAGAGATCGGTGTCAAGTACAAGCGCAACGTTTACGAATAGCTTGAAAAGAAATGCCAAAATATTATAGTTGGGGTACAGGAATGTAATGTTTGCGAATAGTCTTCAAGGAGCTAAGAAAATTGCCAAAATGTTTACGAATGTGCTTGAAAGAGAAACTTAAAGACACAACTGATTCGCTGAAGAAATATGACACTTTATAAAATGCACGATTATGCTTAAAAGAGGAATTGAGAGTGATAGACAACGCTGTTAGGCATTGTTTACGAATGTAATGTGTAATGTAAAGAGGAAAGTTACGATTACGCTTCAAAGAGGAGTGCGTAGGCCAAGGAGTTTAGCTGACGTTTAAGAATACGCTTCAAAATGGAATTGAAAAGCTCAAGACATCTCGTATACGTTTACGAATAAGCTTGAAAGAGGAATGCCCACAACTTGCTACTGACGTAAAAGAAGCGTTACGTTTACGATGACGCTTCAAAGAGGAATGCAAAATAACATTGATTTCATTATACACGATATCGTATGCCACTTTGGCCTTCTATTATTATATGATCTGTTAAATTCGAAATGCTCGTAGTGCTAATGCCAATAAATGTGGAGCCCACACATTTCATTTCATTTGATTTGTTCTTTTTGTTGCCCCATCAAATCTCAAGTCCAGCTTGCAGCTCAAGTCTCGCTTAGCCGAAAAAAAGAAAAAAAGAATTCAAATAAAATACAGCTGTTGCTTGTCGTTTGGTGTTGTAGCACCAAACTGGCCAGGCCATCAAAACAAGGCCCCCAATTCGGCGTGTACGCCGGGGCATTGGTGGTGGTAGTCGCAGTGGAGCCCCCATGCCGGTGCCAGTACCGGTACAGCCGCCAAGCTGCGACTGCTTACCCCCTGCCGGGGTGTGTGCAACTGACCCAACGTGTGTTGTCTGTCCGCCCGTCTCTTCCGTCTGTCTGTGGCACTGTGTCCCACTGTCTGTTTGTCAATTGCAATGCGCCGTCGTTGTTGAGTGTTTTTTTTTTTTTTTTTTTT